GAACACTGTTCCTTGGCCACATAATGAGAAGAGAGACACTGAACAACACCGTGACAACTGGAAAGATCAGTGGAAAAAGGGGTAGAGGCAGACCAAGAGAGATGATGCTGGATGGGCTGAAACGATAGCACTGAGGGATATAATGAAAAGAGCTGTTTCAGGCAACCAGGGATCGTGATCTGTGGAGACTCATCAGCGCCTACGCCCGTTGGCAGGGTTGCGGCATTGCCGTGAGTCTTCGACTCTGTAACTCTGCTCAGAAAGGAGACGATATAACCAGCTTCTCATGGGGACAATTAGTAGAAGTACTTTGCAGTGGCTGCTGCTTCGGAGAACTGAGCACGCATGGGTATGCCCGATGTGCAGTGACATAAAGTGTGATAACAAAACATAAAATAACATCTTGTAGGGAGTCGGCAGTCCGAAACCAAAGTTCAAGGTGATAACAAAACATAAAATAACATCTTGTAGGGAGTCGGCAGTCCGAAACCAAAGTTCAAGGTGTCTCCTTCGTGCCAAAGAACTGCATGGCTGTAGGGTAAACAGTCGTTAACGAAAGCAGGCAGGTCGTTGTAGGGGCGACGCCTCCTGGTGGATGTAATGTCCTAAGTCCCTTCCCAGCTAATAGTGAGGGTACTGCTGGTGTGACCGTTTATTAACCCTCATATAATGCTTCAGGTCAAAATGGACGCTAGGCACGGCCACCTTTTTTTCTGCCAGACAGTGGCCGTTGCATTTTTGCTTCATTTATAGACTGGAAGGATATAGTTTCGTCGCCCAGCTTCTGAGTTAAGTGCATGGCGTAACACTGTGAGCTACGTGTGTTTTTCGTTGGCACAGGAGCGGAGAAACTATGGGGTGACCCGTTTGCTATGAAGCTGAAACTAGGATTACCAGATTACCAGATAGGACAATGTGTCCAAGTTCCGTTTCTAGCATCTAGGACATTGTGTTCAAGTTCAGTTTCTAGCACCTGGGACATTGTGTCCAGGTTCAGTTTCTAGCACCTCGAACAATGTGTCCAAGTTCGGTTTCTTGCACCTTGGGACAATGTGTCCAAGTTCAGTTTCTTGCACCTGGTCAATGAGTCCAAGTTTCATTTCTAGCATCTGGGACATTGTGTCCAAGTTCAATTTTTAGCACCTGGGACATTGTGTCAAAGTTAAGTTTCTAGCACCTGGGACAATGTGTCAAAGTTAAGTTTCTAGCACCTGGGACAATGTGTCCAAGTTCAGTTTCTAGCACCTGGGACAACATGTCTAAGTTCTATTTCTAGCACCTGGGACATTGTGTCCAGGTTCAGTTTCTAGCACCTGGGACAATGTGTCCAAGTTCAGTTTCTAGCACCTGGGACAATGTGTCCGAGTTCAGTTTCTAGCACCTGGGACAATGTGTCCGAGTTCAGTTTCTAGCACCTGGGACAACGTGTCCAAGTTCAGTTTCTAGCACCTGGGACATTGTGTCCAAGTTCAGTTTCTAGCACCTGGGACAATGTGTCCAAGTTCAGTTTCTAGCACCTGGGACAATATGTTCAAGTCTAGTTTCTAGCACCTGGGACAACGTGTCCAAGTTCAGTTTCTAGCACCTGGGACAATGTGTCCGAGTTCAGTTTCTAGCACTTGGGACAATGTGTCCGAGTTCAGTTTCCCCATACACTTCATCTGCCCCTCAATACAGAGCCATCTTTATACATTATCGCAACACCAGGATGGAAATTTTCATGAATAATTTGTTGAACTTCTGATTCTGCAGCACCAGCTGACCAGTCCCTGCACTCATGTCCCAAAGTGATAAGAAGCATAGACAAGTCTGAAACCTGATTGGACACTTTGACTAACTCCTCTCCTCGCCTAAATGTATCAAGCCTGCACACATGTCTAATTGTGTATTCAGCTTGCGAAATGCCAGGCTTTCCTCTTTTTAGTCTGTGACCCTTAGCTCTATCCAGTGCTTCATGCAGGAGGTGCCTCTTGTCCGCAGCTACTCTGAGATATGACTTTGCTGGCTGAACTTTGAGCCTATCTGGAATAGTAGGCAGTGCAAGTATATATTGCATAATACTACCGGGGTATCTCTTGTACATTCCCTAAACCCTATGGGACTCAAAGAGTTAATAGTTATGGGAGACCTGAATGCAAAAGTGGGGAAAAAGAAGCACACACATATTGTAGGGCAATTTGGCATAAGATCAAGGAATGACAGAGGAGACAGATTGATACAGTTTTGAGAAGAGAACCAACTCATTATCTGTAATACATTTTTTCAACATCCACCTAGAAAACTGTTTACGTGGAAGAGTCCAGGAGATATAAATAGAAACCAAATTGACTATGTAATGTTTAGAGACAGATTCAAAAACAACATAAAGAACGCCAAAACATACCCAGGTGCGGATATAAATTCAGATCACAACCCTGTGGTAATAAAAATACAAATTAAACTTAAAAACGCAGGAATAAAAAAAAAAAAACACAAAGGTCACCCCACATAGACATATCAGCTTTGAAACAGCCAGAAATAAGCCAGCAGTAGCTAGTGGAGGTTAAAGATAAATATGACCGATTAATAGCTGAAAGCATGGAACAATATCGACGGGAGAATCTAGAGGACAAAATTAATACAAAATGGGAATGTTTCAAAACTAGTATAGAAACAGCTAATGCCATCTTACCAGTGAAAGAAAACAAGAAAAATCAAGTATGGATGACTGAGGAAATTATTAACAAAATGACACAAAGGAAGAAAGCAAAAAAAAAAAAAAAAAAAAAAAAAAAAAAAAACTCCAGAATATTCATTAATAGACAAAGAAATACGAAATATGTGTAGAACTGCTAAGGAAACATGGATTAAGTTATTAAAATGCAAAGAAATAGAGGATCTTGAAATAAAACACAGAGTCAATGAAATACATGCAAATATAAGAAAACTTACAAACAAGGAAAAACATATAACAGGAAATGGTTGTATTAGGGGGAAGGATGGAAAAATTATTGTTGATAAGAAAGATATAATAAAAAGATGGACTGAATACACAGAAGACCTGTTTTGGGACAACAGAGGTGACAAACTACCAATCCAAAATATTCAAGAGGGACCAAACATATTAAAGTCTGAAGTAGAGAAAGCCATTAAACAGATGAAGCAGGGAAAAGCTGCAGGTCCAGACAACATAACTGCAGTAATGTTAAAATCGTTATCTACTTTTGAAATTGATACTATCACAGAAATATGCAATGACATTTATAACTATGGGTACATTCCCAGGGACATGAAAACATCTGTTTTTATCATACTACCCAAGAAATCAAAAGCTGTTGATTGTGAAGATTACAGAACTATTAGCCTAATGAGTCACGTAACTAAGTTACTCTTGAAGATAATACAAGCAAGAATTCAAGATAAAATGGAGAAAGAAGTTTCTGAAGAGCAATTTGGATTCGTAAAAACAGTGGTACTTGAGAGGCCATAATTTGTCTAAAGATGCTGACTGAAAAATATATAGAAGTTCAGAAAAATATTTATGCATGTTTTATAGAATACAAAAAAAGCTTTCGACAGAGTGCAACACGAACAACTAATTGCAGCTCTTCAAAACATAGGACTAGATGGAAAGGATATCAGACTTATTAGAAACTTATACTGGGAGCAAGAAGCAACAGTAAGATATGACAACATCTGCTCACCCCAGATAGAGATCAAGAGAGGAGTAAGACAAGGGTGTGTGCTGTCGCCTAGCCTTTTCAACTTATGTACAGAAACCATTTTTAAAGAAACTAGAATTACCAGGACTGCACATCAATGGTAGAATAATAAACAATCTGAGATATGCTGACGACACAGTGTTGCTAGCAGAGAGTGAGCTGGAGTTGCAAGACCTAGTGGAGCAAGTAAACAGAAGGAGTGCGGAATTTGGATTAGATATACATTTGAAAAAGACAAAAACCATGATATTTAGCAAAGAAAAAAATCAGCTTACAATGAATATCACAGTGAACAGGGTGAAATTGGAACAAGTTAAAAATTTCTTATATCTTGGACAAGTAATAACATGTGACGGCAGAAGTGAAACAGAAGTCAAGAAAAGAATAGGGAGGGCTAAAAACATTGTCAACAACATGCAAAAGTTACTGACATCAAGAGAAATAAGCAATACATTAAAAATGAGAATTGTCAAATGTTATGTATTCTCAACCTTACTGTATGGCACAGAGACATGGACAATGAACAAACAACTGGAAAATCGTATCAATTCTTTGGAGATGTGGATATACAGAAGATTAGGTCGTATTTCATGGAAACAAAAGCTATCAAATACAGAGGTACTGAGGAAATTGGGAATGAAAAGAGAGTTGCTAGGTGAAATAAAAAAGAGACAAGTGAAATATTTTGGCCACATTACAAGACATAATAGTATGATAAAGATCATCCTAGAGGGAAAGGTTCAAGGTAGGCGAGCAAAAGGCGGACAGCGTTACAAGTGGGAGGATAACATCAAGAGATGGACGAACAGCAGTATGAGTGAGTGTACATCAATGGCAAGAGACAGGGCTTGCTGGAGATCCATTGCAGCCAACCTTCATTGTGGAGACGGCACCTGATTTATTGATAGAATCATGTCCTCATCTTTACTGATGTCTGCCTTACAAGATCCACAGGATAAACTTAGCTTGGATGATGCAGCCTTTTCCTACTCTGATCAGGCAAAATTTTATTGTCAAGATAGCATTTAAGAGGTCAAATTTCATCTTGTTTCATAGGTTGGATTTGATAAATTTACTCTAAATGAAAAATATCTAGGAAAACATCAAACTTATCAACGTCAAAAACGCCATCTTAATGCAAGGAAAAACATCTAAATCTGGATGTAAAACATCCAAAGTGGCAACACTGCTGTGATGTCAAAATTCTTGACTGAAGCAAAACTGGATCAGGAAAAAAAAAAAAACCACACTCTGTCAATCCAAACCAACTTTAGGTGTATCCTAGCAACGAGAAACAAAATGGCGAAGATCGTTTTGGCAGGTGGGTACCGGAGAGTGTTTTTAACACCAGCAAACACGGCTCTGTGTGGCTAGTGTTTCGTTAAACTCCGAAAAACACTGCTCTGTGTGGCTAGTGTTTCGTTTAACTCCGGAAAACACTGCTCTGTGTGGCTAGTGTTTCGTTTAACTCCGGAAAACACTGCTCTGACTCTGTGTGGCTAGTGTTTCGTTTAACTCCGGAAAACACTGCTCTGATTCTGTGTGGCTAGTGTTTCGTTTAACTCCGGAAAACACTGCTCTGTGTGGCTAGTGTTTCGTTTAACTCCGGAAAACACGGCTCTGTGTGGCTAGTGTTTCGTTAAACTCCGGAAAACACGGCTCTGTGTGGCTAGTGTTTCGTTTAACTCTAGAAAACACAGCTCTGTGTGGCTGGTGTTTCGTTTAACCCCAGCAAAGACGGCTCTGTGTGACTAGTGTTTCATTTAACTCCAGCAAACACAGCTCTGTGTGGCTAGTGTTTCATTTGACCCCAGCAAACACGGCTCTGTGTGGCTAGTGTTTCATTTAACCCCAGCAAACACGGCTCTGTGTGGCTAGTGTTTCGTTTAACCCAAAGAAACACTGCTCTGTGTGGCTTTTGTATTATTTAATCCCAGCAAAGACGGCTCTGTGTGGCTAGTGTTTCGTTTAACCCCAGCAAACACAGCTCTGTGTGGCTAGTGTTTCGTTTAACCCCAGCAAACACGGCTCTGTGTGGCTAGTGTTTTATTTAAATCCAGCAAACACGGCTCTGTGTGGCTAGTGTTTCTTTTAACTCCAGCAAATATGGCTCTGTGTGGCTAGTGTTTCAATTAACTCCAGCAAACACGGCTCTGTGTGGCTAGTGTTTCATTTAACCCCAGCAAACATGGCTCTGTGTGGCTAGTGTTTCATTTAACTCCAGCAAACACGGCTCTGTGTGGCTAGTGTTTCATTTAACCCCAGCAAACACGGCTCTGTGTGGCTAGTGTTTCGTTTAACCCAAAGAAACACTGCTCTGTGTGGCTATTGTTTCATTTAACTCCAGCAAACACGGCTCTGTGTGGCTAGTGTTTCTTTTAACTCCAGCAAATATGGCTCTGTGTGGCTAGTGTTTCATTTAACTCCAGCAAATATGGCTCTGTGTGGCTAGTGTTTCATTTAACTCCAGCAAATATGGCTCTGTGTGGCTAGTGTTTCATTTAACTCCAGCAAATATGGCTCTGTGTGGCTAGTGTTTCATTTAACTCCAGCAAACAAGGCTCTGTGTGGCTAGTGTTTTATTTAACTCCAGCAAACACGGCTCTGTGTGGCTAGTGTTTCATTTAACCCGAGGAAACACTGCTTTGTGTGGCTAGTGTTTTGTTTAACACCAGCAAACACGGCTCTGTGTGGCTAGTGTTTTGTTTAACACCAGCAAACACAGCTCTGTGTGGCTAGTGTTTTGTTTAACACCAGCAAACACGGCTCTGTGTGGCTAGTGTTTTGTTTAACCCCAGGAAACACTGCTCTGTGTGGCTAGTGTTTTGTTTAACACCAGCAAACACGGCTCTGTGTGGCTAGTGTTTTGTTTAACCCCAGGAAACACTGCTCTGTGTGTTTTTTTAAAACCCTGGCAAACACAACTTTGTGTGACTAGTATTAGTGTTTCGTTTAACTCTGGCAAACACAGTTCTGTGTTGATAGCATTTGCTTTAACCCAGGCAAACACGGCTCTGTGTGGCTAGGTTTTGGTTTAACAGTGGCAGTCACGGCTCTGTGTGGCTAGTTGTAGTGTTTTGTTTAACCCTGGCAAACACACGCTGTGTGGCTAGTGTTTTGTTTAGCTCTAGCAAACACGTGCTGTGTGGCTAGGGTTTTGTTTAGCTCTAGCAAACACGTGCTGTGTGGCTAGGGTTTGGTTCAGCTCTAGCAAACACACGCTGTGTGGCTAGGGTTTGGTTCAGCTCTAGCAAACACACGCTGTGTGGCTAGTGTTTTGTTTAGCTCTAGCAAACACGTGCTGTGTGGCTAGGGTTTGGTTCAGCTCTAGCAAACACGTGCTGTGTGGCTAGGGTTTGGTTCAGCTCTAGCAAACACGTGCTGTGTGGCTAGGGTTTGGTTCAGCTCTAGCAAACACACGCTGTGTGGCTAGGGTTTGGTTCAGCTCTAGCAAACACGTGCTGTGTGGCTAGGGTTTGGTTCAGCTCTAGCAAACACACGCTGTGTGGCTAGGGTTTTGTTTAGCTCTAGCAAACACACGCTGTGTGGCTAGGGTTTGGTTCAGCTCTAGCAAACACACGCTGTGTGGCTAGGTTTTTTTTTAAGCTCTAGCAAACACACGCTGTGTGGCTGGTGTTGATCTGAAAATAACAAAAACACAACATTACACATATTTATTCAGTAACAGCAAGTCAAGTATGTGAGTTTTCTCTGGGCACATCAATCATCATTTGGGTCCCTAAAGGGTGGCAATCTCCAGACATTTCAGCTTGTCAATCACAACCATACTTTCTGATTTGTGGATATTATCAGGGTTTGGCAGCCTACACGGCTGGTGTGTGCATGTGTGTTTGTGTGTGTGTGTCAGTGATACAACTCTAGTAGCCATGCACATGTGTGTGTGTGTGTGTGCCAGTGATACAACTCTAGTAGCCGTGCACATATGTGTGTGTGTGTGTCAGTGATACAACTCTAGTAGCTGTGCACATATGTGTGTGTGTGTGTGTGTGTGCCAGTTATACAACTCTAGTAGCTGTGCACATATGTGTGTGTGTGTGTGTGTGCCAGTGATACAACTCTAGTAGCTGTGCACATATGTGTGTGTGTGTGTGTGTGTGTGTGCCAGTGATACAACTCTAGTAGCTGTGCACATATGTGTGTGTGTGTGTGTGTGCCAGTTATACAACTCTAGTAGCCGTGCACATGTGTGTGTGTGTCAGTGATACAACTCTAGTAGCTGTGCACATGTGTGTGTGTGTGTGCCAGTGATACAACTCTAGGTGTGCGCATGTGTGTGTGTGTGTGTGTGTGTGTACCAGTGATACAACTCTAGTAGCCGTGCACATGTGTGTGTGTGTGCCAGTGATACAACTCTAGTAGCTGTGCACATGTGTGTATGTGTGTGTGTGTGCCAGTGATACAACTCTAGGTGTGCGCATGTGTGTGTGTGTACCAGTGATACAACTCTAGTAGCTGTGCACATGTGTGTGTGTGTGTGTGCCAGTGATACAACTCTAGTAGCTGTGCACATGTGTGTGTGTGTGTGTGTGCCAGTGATACAACTATAGTAGCTGTGCACATGTGTGTGTGTGTGCCAGTGATACAACTCTAGTAGCTGTGCACATGTGTGTGTGTGTGTGTGTGTGTGCCAGTGATACAACTCTAGTAGCTGTGCACATGTGTGTGTGTGTGTGCCAGTGATACAACTCTAGTACTGTGCACATGTGTGTGTGTGTGTGTGTGCCAGTTATACAACTCTAGTAGCCGTGCACATGTGTGTGTGTGTGTGTGTGCCAGTGATACAACTCTAGGTGTGCGCATGTGTGTGTGTGTGTGTGCCAGTGATACAACTCTAGTAGCTGTGCACATGTGTGTGTGTGTGTGTGCCAGTGATACAACTCTAGTAGCTGTGCACATGTGTGTGTGTGTGTGTGCCAGTGATACAACTCTAGTAGCTGTGCACATGTGTGTGTGTGTGTGTGTGTGTGCCAGTGATACAACTCTAGGTGTGCGCATGTGTGTGTGTGTGTGTGTGTGTGTGTGTGCCAGTGATACAACTCTAGTAGCCCTGCACATGTGTGTGTGTGTGTGTGCCAGTGATACAACTGTAGTAGCCATGCACATGTGTGTGTGTGTGCCAGTGATACAACTCTGGTAGCCGTGCACACATTCTAGACTGTCTGTTGTATCAGATGAGGGTGCTAGGACAGGACAGTCATCCAGCAGACACTTTATAGTCTTCTTTAGGGACTCTAGGCTGAAGAAAACATCAGCTGTCATCAGCTGCCCTCATGTGTGTTGTGTCATGTGACTGGTTGGAGTTGTATCATGTGACTGGTTGGTGTTGGCTGTAGAACCATTTCCCCACTCACCTCCCATTGTTCTGGCTGTAGAACTTCCCCACTCACCTCCCATTGTTCTGGCTGTAGAACTTCCCCACTCACCTCCCATTGTTCTTGCTGTAGAACTTCCCCAATCACCTCCCATTGTTCTATCTGTGGAACTTCCCCACTCACCTCCCATTGTTCTGGCTGTAGAACCATCTCCCCACTCACCTCCCATTGTTCTGGCTGTAGAACTTCCCCACTCACCTCCCATTGTTCTGGCTGTAGAACTTCCCCACTCACCTCCCATTGTTCTGGCTGTAGAACTTCCCCACTCACCTCCCATTGTTCTGGCTGTAGAACCATCTCCCCATTCACCTCCCATTGTTCTGGCTGTAGAACCATCTCCCCATTCACCTCCCATTGTTCTGGTTGTAGAACTTCCCCACCCACCTCCCACTGTTCTGTCTGTAGAACTTCCCCACCCACCTCCCACTGTTCTGGCTGTAGAACTTCCCCACTTACCTCTCATTGTTCTGGCTGTAGAACCAACAGAATTGTTTACTAGACTTTACTAGACTTTTATATCTGAGTGTGAGAAAAATGTTGACCTAATTATTATGAGAATATATACTAGACTATTTTGTATCTGAGTGTGAGAAGAGCATTGACATAATTATTATTTCTAGAATATATACTAGACTTTTATATCTGAGTCAGAAGAACATTGACATAATTAACTTTTATATCTGAGTCAGAAGAACATTGACATAATTAACTTTTATATCTGAGTGTGAAAAGAACATTGACATAATTAACTTTTATATCTGAGTGTGAAAAGAACATTGACATAATTAACTTTTATATCTAAGTGTGAGAAGAACATTGACATAATTAACTTTTATATCTGAGTGTTGAAAGAACATTGACATAATTAACTTTTATATCTGAGTGTGAAAAGAACATTGACATAATTAACTTTTATTTCTGAGCGTGAGAAGAACATTAACCTAATTATTATAATAATATTTTCTAGACTTTTATATCGTAGTGTGAGACTCTGGGAGTTTGATTGGAGTACCCTGACATTATGTTTATGGACACAATCAATGTTCAGTTATAACCCCAACTTTTGTTTGTTTGTTTTTTGCTTTTGTCGACCAGGTCGCTCTGACTGTCCCTACTTGGCACGTTGTGAGTTGCTCGGTGACCGGTTAGCTAGAAATCTTCGCAAGTTCAAGCTACACAAAATTATTCTACAGCCAGAACAATGGGAGGTGAGTGGGGAGATGGTTCTACAGCTAGAACAATGGGGGGTGGGTGGGGAAGTTCTACAGCCAGAACAATGGGAGGTGGGTCGGGAAGTTCTACAGCCAGAACAATGGGAGGTGGGTCGGGAAGTTCTACAGCCAGAACAATGGGAGGTGGGTCGGGAAGTTCTACAGCCAGAACAATAAGGTGTTAGTGGGATCTCAACTCAAGGTTAGGTACAGGGAGATGCATAGGGTTTCATCATAGGGTTATACATCAATACAGGGAGATGTATAGGGTTTTATCATAGGGTTATACAACAATACAGGGAGATGTACAGGGTTTTATCATAGGGTTATACAACAATACAGGGAGATGTATAGGGTTTCATCATAGGGTTATACATCAATACAGGGAGATGTATAGGGTTTTATCATAGGGTTATACAACAATACAGGGAGATGTACAGGGTTTTATCATAGGGTTATACATCAATACAGGGAGATGTATAGGGTTTTATCATAGGGTTATACAACAATACAGGGAGATGTATAGGGTTTTATCATAGGGTTATACAACAATACAGGGAGATGTATAGGGTTTTGTCATAGGGTTGTACAACAATATAAAGAAAGCATAGATTTGGCAACATTTTAAAACACACACACACGATCTCTCTTTTTTTCTCACACACAAACATTCACAGAGAATAAGAGAGAGACAGAGAGAGAAAGAAAGTAAGAGACAGTGAGATAGAGAGAGATAGGGAGAAAAAGAGAGAGACACAGAGACAAAGAGACACAGAGAGAGACACAGAGAGAGACTAAGGAGACACAGCGAGATAAAGAGAGAGACAGATACGAAGAGAGATAAAGACAGACAAAGCCAGAGACAGAGAGAGACAGAGAGACACAGAGAGAGACTAAGGAGACAAAGCGAGATAAAGAGAGAGACAGATACGAAGAGAGATAAAGACAGACAAAGACAGAGAGAGACAGAGAGACAAAGAGAGAAAGAAAGTGAGAGACAGTGAGACAGAGAGAGATAGGGAGAAAATGAGAGAGACACATAGAGACAAAGAAACAGAGAGAGAGAGAGAGAGAGAGAGAGACTGAATAGGCACAGAGAAATAAAGACAGACAAAGCCAGAGACAGAGAGAGACAGAAAGAGAGAGAGACAGACAGAGAGTAAGAGAGACATAGACACAGAAATAGAGAGACATATACACAGAGAGAGACTGAGGAAGACAGCAAGACAGAGAGACACAGAGAGAGAGACAGAGACAGAGAGAGATACAGAGAGAGATACAGAGAGATATACAGAGAGAGATACAGAGAGAGATACAGAGAGAGACAGATACAGAGAGAGAGACAGATACAGAGAGAGAGACAGAGATACAGAGAGAGACAGACAGAGATACAGATAGAGACAGAGAGAGGTAGAGAGAGACAAAGAGAGGCAGAGAGAGAGACAAGAGAGGCAGAGAGAGACAGATATACAGAGAGAGAGAGACAGATATAGAGAGAGACAAAGAGGTAGAGAGAGACAAAGAGAGACAGAGAGAGAGACAAAGAACGAGACAGATATATATAGAGAAAGACATAGAGAGAGTCATAGAGAGACAGGGAGAGGTAGAGAGAGACAAAGAGCGAGACAGAAATATAGAGAGAGAGACAGAGAGAGTCATAAAGAGACAGGAAAAGGTAGAGAGAAACAAAGAGGGAGACAGACATAGAGAGAGACAGAGAGAGAGACAAAGAGTGAGTCAGACATATAGAGAGAGAGACAGAGAGAGAGACAAAGAGCGAGACAGACATATAGAGAGAGAGACAGAGAGAGAGAGAGGCCTGACAGTGATGATTTAGCAAATAGCTACAGTTAAAAAAAAAAACAATTAAGTAAAATGCGAATGTTTTTGAAGTCTGTACTTGAATAGAGAAAATGTTGAAAAGTATGGGCAATTGTTACTGATATCAAGACAGTTAGATAGTTAGTTAGTTAGTTAGTTAGTTAGTTAGTTAGTTAGTTAGTTAGTTAGTTAGTTAGTTAGTTAGTTAGTTAGTTAGTTAGTTAGTTAGTTAGTTAGTTAGTTAGTTAGTTAGTTAGTTAGTTAGTTAGTTAGTAGGGTTATCATCATTGCTCTCCGGACATGTTCATAGGTGCTCGTATCAAGACAATGCTGTCAAGTATCTAGCACATTGTCATTGTTGTTTTCTTCTTCAGCAGTTTCTGGTCAAATGCTTAATCCACTATAGACCATAAAGTGGCAGGTCAGTTTGAGATGTCTTTGGTTTCCCTCCAGCTTTTTTATCAGGTCTGCTAGGTGGGTCAACATATTGTTTCACAGCTCCTTCAGAAGACGACAGTCATGTGAGACATGTTCTGAGGTCTGTTCAGCTTGTCTCATAGCTAGTTAACATGTGCAATGTTGAGGTGAAGACACTAGAGAAATGTTTGTCTCATAGCTAGTTAACATGTGCAATGTTGAGGTGAAGGCACTAGAGAACTGTTTGTCTCATAGCTAGTTAACATGTGCATAGTTGAGGTGAAGACACTAGAGAACAGCTTGTCTCAAAGCTAGTTAACATGTGCATAGTTGAGGTGAAGGCACTAGAGAACTGTTTGTCTCAAAGCTAGTTAACATGTGCATAGTTGAGGTGAAGGCACCAGACAACTGTTTGTCTCATAGCTAGTTAACATGTGCATAGTTGAGGTGAAGACACTAGACAACTGTTTGTCTGATAGCTAGTTAACATGTGCATAGTTGAGGTGAAGACATCAGAGAACTGTTTGTCTCATAGCCAGTTAACATGTGCAATGTTGAGGTGAAGACACTAGAGAACTGTTTGTCTCATAGCTAGTTAACATGTGCAATGTTGAGGTGAAGACATCAGAGAACTGTTTGTCTCAAAGCTAGTTAACATGTGCAATGTTGAGGTGAAGACACTAGAGAACTGTTTGTCTCATAGCTAGTTAACATGTGCAATGTTGAGGTGAAGACACCAGAGAACTGCTTGTCTCATAGCCAGTTAACATGTGCATCGTTGAGGTGAAGGAACCAGACAACTGTTTGTCTCATAGCCAGTTAACATGTGCATAGTTGAGGTGAAGGCACCAGAGAACTGTTTGTCTCATAGCTAGTTAACATGTGCAATGTTGAGGTGAAGACACTAGAGAACTGTTTGTCTCATAGCTAGTTAACATGTGCAATGTTGAGGTGAAGGCACCAGACAACTGCTTGTCTCATAGCTAGTTAACATGTGCAATGTTGAGGTGAAGACACCAGAGAACTGTTTGTCTCATAGCTAGTTAACATGTGCAATGTTGAGGTGAAGACACTAGAGAACTGTTTGTCTCATAGCTAGTTAACATGTGCAATGTTGAGGTGAAGGCACCAGACAACTGTTTGTCTCATAGCCAGTTAACATGTGCATAGTTGAGGTGAAGGAACCAGACAACTGTTTGTCTCATAGCTAGTTAACATTTGCATAGTTGAGGTGAAGGCACCAGACAACTGTTTGTCTCATAGCTAGTTAACATGTGCATAGTTGAGGTGAAGGCACCAGAGAACTGCTTGTCTCATAGCTAGTTAACATGTGCAATGTTGAGGTGAAGACACTAGAGAACTGTTTGTCTCAAAGCTAGTTAACATGTGCATAGTTGAGGTGAAGACACTAGAGAACTGTTTGTCTCAAAGCTAGTTAACATATGCTATGTTGAGGTGAAGGAACCAGACAACTGTTTGTCTCATAGCTAGTTAACATGTGCTATGTTGAGGTGAAGACACTAGAGAACTGCTTGTCTCATAGCTAGTTAACATGTGCAATGTTGAGGTGAAGGCACTAGAGAACTGTTTGTCTCATAGCTAGTTAACATGTGCAATGTTGAGGTGAAGACACCAGACAACTGTTTGTCTCAAAGCTAGTTAACATGTGCAATGTTGAGGTGAAGACACTAGAGAACTGCTTGTCTCATAGCTAGTTAACATGTGCAATGTTGAGGTGAAGACACCAGACAACTGTTTGTCTCAAAGCTAGTTAACATGTGCAATGTTGAGGTGAAGACACTAGAGAACAGCTTGTCTCAAAGCTAGTTAACATGTGCAATGTTGAGGTGAAGGCACCAGACAACTGTTTGTCTCAAAGCTAGTTAACATGTGCATAGTTGAGGTGAAGACACTAGAGAACTGTTTGTCTCATAGCTAGTTAACATGTGCAATGTTGAGGTGAAGACACCAGAGAACTGTTTGTCTGATAGCTAGTTAACATGTGCATAGTTGAGGTGAAGGCACCAGACAACTGTTTGTCTCATAGCTAGTTAACATGTGCTATGTTGAGGTGAAGACACTAGAGAACTGTTTGTCTCATAGCTAGTTAACATGTGCATAGTTGAGGTGAAGGCACCAGACAACTGTTTGTCTCATAGCTAGTTAACATGTGCAATGTTGAGGTGAAGACACTAGAGAACTGCTTGTCTCATAGCTAGTTAACATGTGCATAGTTGAGGTGAAGGCACCAGACAACTGTTTGTCTCAAAGCTAGTTAACATGTGCAATGTTGAGGTGAAGGCACTAGAGAACTGTTTGTCTCATAGCTAGTTAACATGTGCAATGTTGAGGTGATGACACTAGAGAACTGTTTGTCTCATAGCTAGTTAACATGTGCAATGTTGAGGTGAAGACACTAGAGAACAGCTTGTCTCATAGCTAGTTAACATATGCAATGTTGAGGTGAAGGCACTAGAGAACTGTTTGTCTCAAAGCTAGTTAACATGTGCAATGTTGAGGTGAAGACACTAGAGAACTGTTTGTCTCAAAGCTAGTTAACATGTGCAATGTTGAGGTGAAGACACTAGAGAACTGTTTGTTCCAAAGCTAGTTAACATGTGCAATGTTGAGGTGAAGACACTAGAGAACTGTTTGTCTCATAGCTAGTTAACATGTGCATAGCTGAGGTGAAGGCACCAGACAACTGTTTGTCTCATAGCTAGTTAACATGTGCATAGCTGAGGTGAAGACACCAGACAACTGTTTGTCTCAAAGCTAGTTAACATGTGCAATGTTGAGGTGAAGACACTAGAGAACTGTTTGTCTCAAAGCTAGTTAACATGTGCAATGTTGAGGTGAAGACACTAGAGAACAGCTTGTCTCAAAGCTAGTTAACATGTGCAATGTTGAGGTAAAGACACGAGAGAACTGTTTGTCTCAAAGCTAGTTAACATGTGCAATGTTGAGGTGAAGACACTAGAGAACTGTTTGTCTCAAAGCTAGTTAACATGTGCAATGTTGAGGTGAAGACACTAGAGAACAGCTTGTCTCAAAGCTAGTTAACATGTGCAATGTTGAGGTGAAGGCACCAGACAACTGTTTGTCTCAAAGCTAGTTAACATGTGCATAGTTGAGGTGAAGGCACCAGACAACTGTTTGTCTCATAGCTAGTTAACTTGTGCATAGCTGAGGTGAAGGCACCAGACAACTGTTTGTCTCAAAGCTAGTTAACATGTGCAATGTTGAGGTGAAGACACTAGGGACTGTTTGTCTCAAAGCTAGTTAACATGTGCAATGTTGAGGTGAAGACACTAGAGAACAGCTTGTCTCAAAGCTAGTTAACATGTGCAATGTTGAGGTGAAGACACGAGAGAACTGTTTGTCTCAAAGCTAGTTAACATGTGCAATGTTGAGGTGAAGACACTAGAGAACTGTTTGTCTCAAAGCTAGTTAACATGTGCAATGTTGAGGTGAAGACACTAGAGAACAGCTTGTCTCAAAGCTAGTTAACATGTGCAATGTTGAGGTGAAGGCACCAGACAACTGTTTGTCTTAAAGCTAGTTAACATGTGCATAGTTGAGGTGAAGGCACCAGACAACTGTTTGTCTCAAAGCTAGTTAACATGTGCAATGTTGAGGTGAAGGCACCAGACAACTGCTTGTCTCAAAGCTAGTTAACATGTGCAATGTTGAGGTGACGACACTAGAGAACTGTTTGTCTCATAGCTAGTTAACATGTGCATAGTTGAGGTGAAGGCACTAGAGAACTGTTTGTCTCATAGCTAGTTAACATGTGCAATGTTGAGGTGAAGACACTAGAGAACTGTTTGTCTCATAGCTAGTTAACATGTGCAATGTTGAGGTGAAGACACCAGACAACTGTTTTTCTCATAGCTAGTTAACATGTGCAATGTTGAGGTGAAGACACTAGAGAACAGCTTGTCTCAAAGCTAGTTAACATGTGCAATGTTGAGGTGATGACACCAGAGAACTGTTTGTCTCATAGCTAGTTAACATGTGCAATGTTGAGGTGAAGACACTAGAGAACTGTTTGTCTCATAGCTAGTTAACATGTGCAATGTTGAAGTGAAAACACTAGAGAACAGCTTGTCTCAAAGCTAGTTAACATGTGCAATGTTGAGGTGATGACACCAGAGAACTGTTTGTCTCATAGCTAGTTAACATGTGCAATGTTGAGGTGAAGACACTAGAGAACTGTTTGTCTCATAGCTAGTTAACATGTGCAATGTTGAGGTGAAAACACTAGAGAACTGTTTTTCTCATAGCTAGTTAACATGTGCAATGTTGAGGTGAAGAATTTTGATATGGTCGGTTCTGTTTAGATGACTGAGGAAATCTTTGTCAAGGTTATAACTGGTATTTGTTTTCCAGTCTGTGATTTTCTGTTTTTTAGGGATTTGATAGTGACTGGTAGATTTGCTGCTGCCTTCCTTGGTTAAGCCTCAGTGTTTTCATTGCCTTTGATGCCGCATTCAGATAGAGTCCACTGCAGGTGTTTCTGTCTTTTCTGAACAACTTATCTCCCCATGTGGAATCCAGGGCCTCATTGTGGGCACAGAAGAAAAGATTCACTGGCGCCCAGCTGTGAGAAGATGTGGTAGGATTTTGAGAGTGATATATGTTGGTAGTGACATTAAAACAGAAGACAGTTCTGAGAGAAGATCAAAGTTTACAGCAAGTTTTATTTTTAAACTTTGCAATAACTGTCAGTAGTTTTAGCCTGTAGAGTCTGTATGGCTGACTGTGAACCTGTGAGAATCAATCAGTCGTATGGGACATTGTCATAGAGCTGGCTGTGAATCTGTGAGAATCTATTAGTTGTATGCGACATTGTCTTTGGGCTCACATTGAATCTGTGAAAATCTATCACTCGTATGGGACATTGTCTTAGAGCTGGCTGTGAATCTGTGAGAATCTATCACTCGTATGGGACATTGTCTTAGAGCTGGCTGTGAATCTGTGAGAATCTATCAGTCATATGGGACATTGTCATAGAGATGGCTGCGAACCTGTGAGAATCTATTAGTTGTATGAGACATTGTCTTAAGGCTGACATTGAATCTGTGAAAATCTATTAGTTGTATGAGACATTGTCTTAGAGCTGGCTGTAAACCTGTGAGAATCTATCACTCATATGGGACATTGTCTTTGGGCTGACATGGAATCCGTGAGAATTTATTAGTTGTATGAGACATTGTCTTTGGGCTGACATTGAATCCGTTGTAATCTATTAGTTGTATGAGACATTGTCTTTGGGCTGACATGGAATCCGTGATAATCTATTAGTTGTATGAGACATTGTCCTTGGGCTGACATTGAATCTGTGATAATCTATTAGTTGTATGAGAAATTGTCTTTGGGCTGACATTGAATCAGTGATAATCTAATAGTTGTATGAGACATTGTCTTAGGGCTGGCTGCGAACCTGTGAGAATCTATCAGTCATATGGGACATTGTCTTAGAGCTGGCTGTGAACCTGTGAGAATCTATCAGTTGTATAGGACATTGTCTTAAGGCTGACAGTAAACCTGTGAGAATCTATCAGTTGTATAGGACATTGTCTTAAGGCTGACAGTAAACCTGTGAGAATCTAACATTTGAATGGCACATTGTCTTTGATGTCAAGGAGGTGTGGCCTGAATCTCTGCTCTACAAAACATGTAGTTGTTTTCCTTAGTTGACTTGCTGTCTCAGTGCATTCAGATTTGACCAAGATGGCGCTAACATTGGTGCAAGACAAGAAGTCTTTAGCACAAGTGGACATGTTGTCCCATATCTGAACCAAGCTGTCATGCTTGAATAAAAAGCAAACCAAATATTAGTGGTAATTCTTTTGCTTTCATACCAAGAACAATTGTTGTTGACATCTGTTGAAAACCTTGTTGCATGTTTGCAGAGCTGGCTGGCAGAGACTTGCAAGGAAAGAGGATGGAGCTTCAAGAAATCGCCCATTGTCTGGAGAGAGTTGATTGACAGGGGAGGTAAAGGTGTTCTCATCGGGGATGCCAATGACTTTCAGGAGTATGCAAAAGCTTACTACGATGTCCTGTCAGAGATGACCACCCTGGACATGAATGTGGTCAGCTTGGAAAACAAGATCACCAAGGACATGTCTGATGAACAGGAGCGGTATTACAGAAGTCTGTCGCAACCTATCACTGTCTGCATCACCAATGCAGGCAACCCCGTCTGCTACTATCTGCTCAATTCTCTTGTCTCTGGTGAAGTGTTTGGTCCAGATGTGGAAATTATCGTCCATCTGCTTGCCTCCTCGGTCAATGACTATGAACTCGTGAAGGGGACAGCGATGGAAGCCGAAGACCTTGCCAGCAGATTCTTGAGGGGTGTCAAAGTCTTCACTAATGCCCATGATGCATTTGAAGACTGCAAATTTATTATTTCATTGGACACTTTGAGTAAAAGAAAAAATGAATCAGAAAAAGAATGGCTTGAAAGGAACGAGGAATTTTTCAGTATCTTTGCTTTCATAATAAATGATAAAGCTCACAAGTTATGTAAGGTATGTGTCCCATGCTTGATTGATGATACTTGTAGGATATTTGAGATTTTACAGATTGAGTTTATTCCATGCTTCATTTGTGATATATCTGTGATATGTTTTTAGCATGAGTTGACTACATGTTTCATTTATGATACATCTGTGGTATGTTTCAGCATCTGTTGACTTCTTGTTTCCTTTGTGATACATCTGTGGTATGTTTCAGCATGAGTTGACTCCATGTTTCATTTGTGATACAACTGTGGTATGTTTTAGCATGAGTTGACTCCATGTTTCATTTGTGATACATCTGTGATATGTTTTAGCATGAGTTGACTTCTTGTTTCATTTGTGGTACATCTGTGATATGTTTTAGCATGAGTTGACTTCTTGTTTCATTTGTGATACATCTGTGATATGTTTTAGCATGAGTTGACTTCTTGTTTCATTTGTGGTACATCTGTAAAATGTGAGTTATTTCAGCATGGGCTGACTCCATGCTTCATTTGTAATACATCTGTGATATGTGAGTTGTTTCAGTGTGATACATCTGTGTTATGTGAGAGGTTTCAGCATGATTTGACTCCTTGCTTCATTTGTGATACATCTGTGATATGTGAGTTGTTTCAGAATGAGTTTATTTCATTCTTCATTTGTGATACATCTGTGGTATGTTTTAGCATGAGTTGACTCCATGTTTCATTTGTCATACAACTATGATATGTTTCAGCATGAGTTGACTACATGTTTCATTTGTGATACATCTGTGGTATGTTTCAGCATGAGTTGACTCCATGTTTCATTTGCGATACATCTGTGATATGTTTTAGCATGAGTTGACTTCTTATTTAATTTGTGATACATCTGTGGTATGTTTTAGGTTGAGTTGACTCCATGTTTCATTCGTGATACATCTGTGATATGTTTTAGCATGAGTTGACTTCTTGTTTCATTTGTGATACATCTGTGAATTGTGAGTTGTTTCAGCGTGAGTTGTTTCAGCATGAGTTTATTTCATGCTTCATTTGTGATACATCTGTGGTATGTTTCAGCATGAGTTGACTCCATCCTTCATGTGTGATACATCTGTGTTATGTGAGAGGTTTCAGCATGATTTGACTCCTTGCTTCATTTGTGATACATCTGTGATATGTGAGTTGTTTCAGAATGAGTTTATTTCATGCTTCATTTGTGATACAACTCTGATAATGTTTCATAATGAATTTAGCACTGCTATATATGTGATAAACTGAGATAATGGTTCATTGTTTGTTTAGTTCACACTTCATTTGTGGTGTGTGTGATATAATGGTTCATCCTGGGTTTAGTGAATGCTATATTTGTGATCATCATTATCATCATCATTATCATCATCATCATAAACCACTTCTGCCGTTAAGCGTCATGGGGAGGAATAATATGCGATCCAGTGCACATTAGCTGCCACTGGCTATTGTGAGATACAATGAGATAATGGTCCATTGTGAGTTTAGTGCATGCTATATTTGTGATACAATGAGATAATGGTTCATTGTGAGCTTAGTGCATGTTACATTTGTGATACAATGAGATAATGGTCCATTGTGAGTTTAGTGCATGCTGTATTTGTGATACAGTGAGATAATGGTTCATTGTGAGTTTGGTGCATGTTACATTTGTGATACAATGAGATAATAGTCCATTGTGAGTTTGGTGCATGCTACATTTGTGATACAATGAGATAATGGTTCATTGTGAGTTTAGTGCATGTTACATTTGTGATACAATGAGATAATAGTCCATTGTGAGTTTGGTGCATGCTACATTTGTGATACAATGAGATAATGGTTCATTGTGAGTTTAGTGCATGTTACATTTGTGATACAATGAGATAATAGTCCATTGTGAGTTTGGTGCATGCTACATTTGTGATACAATGAGATAATGGTTCATTGTGAGTTTAGTGCATGTTACATTTGTGATAATGAGATAATGGTTCATTGTGAGCTTAGTGCATGCTACATTTGTGATACAATGAGATAATGGTTTATTGTGAGTTTAGTGTATGCTATATTTGAGATACAATGAGATAATAGTCCATTGTGAGTTTGGTGCATGCTACATTTGTAATACAATGAGATAATGGTCCATTGTGAGTTTAATGTATGCTATATTTGTGATACAATGAGATCATGGTTCATTGTGATTACATTTTCTCTGACATGCTAAACTCCCGTCTCTGTGCTCCACAGGTGCTTTTGTGTGGTAACGGCCCCGTCAACTTTAATGCAACAATTGTGGCAGAGAATGCTCCAAATTTGCCTCATCAGAACATTGTGGTGGTTTCAGCTCTGATAGAGAATTATGCCAAATCAGTGATTGCAGAGAAATTGAATGTCAACACAGCAGGTAGCTTCAGTTGTATTCTGCTTCATTTCATGTCACAATTGTATCATGGGATATTACCTATAATTGTTGCCACCAGACACCAGAAGGTGATCAGTTGTTATATTAACTGTACTTGTTGCCACCAGACGCCAGAAGGTGATCAGTTGTTATATTTACTGTACTTGTTGCCACCAGACACCAGAAGGTGATCAGTTGTTATATTAACTGTACTTGTTGCCACCAGACACCAGAAGGTGATCAGTTGTTATATTTACTGTACTTGTTGCCACCAGACACCAGAAGGTGATCAGTTGTTATATTTACTGTACTTGTTACCACCAGACACCAGAAGGTGATTAGTTGTTATAATAACCGTACTTGTTGCCACCAGACACCAGAAGGTGATCAGTTGTTATATTAACTGTAATTGTTGTCATCAGACACCAGAAGGTGATCAGTTGTTATATTAACTGTACTTGTTGCCACCAGACACCAGAAGGTGATCAGTTGTTATATTTACTGTACTTGTTGCCACCAGACACCAGAAGGTGATCAGTTGTTATATTTACTGTACTTGTTGCCACCAGACACCAGAAGGTGATCAGTTGTTATATTTACTGTACTTGTTACCACCATACACCAGAAGGTGATCAGTTGTTATATTTACTGTACTTGTTGCCACCAGACACCAGAAGGTGATCAGTTGTTATATTTACTGTACTTGTTACCACCATACACCAGAAGGTGATCAGTTGTTTTATTAACTGTAATTGTTGCCACCAGACACCAGAAGGTGATCAGTTGTTATTTAACTGTAATTGTTGCCACCAGACACCAGAAGGTGATCAGTTGTTATTTAACTGTAATTGTTGCCACCAGACACCAGAAGGTGATCAGTTGTTATTTAACTGTAATTGTTGCCACCAGACACCAGAAGGTGATCAGTTGTTATTTAACTGTAATTGTTGCCACCAGACACCAGAAGGTGATCAGTTGTTGTATTGGCTGCTGGTGTGTTGTGTGAACTGTGTACATACATGACTGCTACTGGTGTGTTGGGATAAACTGTGTACATACATGACTGCTACTGGTGTGTTAAGATGAGTTGTGTACATACATGACTGCTACTGGTGTGTTGGGATGAACTGTGTATAAACATGAGAGTTACTGGTGTGTTGGGGTAAGCTTTGTACATACATAAGAGTTACTGGTATTTTAGGAAGGAAATGTGTACCTACAAAAGGGTTACTGGTGTGTTGGGAGTGAACTGTGTACATACATGAGAGTTACTGATGTGTTTTGGGAGTGAATTGTGTACATAAATGAGCGTTACTGGTGTGTTGGGATGAGCTGTGTACATTCATGACTGCTACTGGTGTGTTGGGATGAGCTGTGTACATACATGAGAGTTACTGGTGTGGTGGGATGAACTGTGTACATGATTGCTACTGGTGGGTTGGGATGAACTGTGTACATACATGACTGCTACTGGTGTTTTGGGATGAGCTGTGTACATACATGACTGCTACTGGTGTGTTGGGATGAGCTGTGTACATACATGACTGCTACTGGTGTGTTGGGATGAACTGTGTACATAAATGACTGCTACTGGTGTGTTGGGAAGAACTGTGTACATAAATGACTGCTACTGGTGTGTTGGGATGAACTGTGTACATACATGACTGCTACTGGTGTGTTGGGATGAGCTGTGCACATACATGACTGCTACTGGTGTGTTGGGATGAGTTGTGTACATACATGACTGCTACTGGTGTGTTGGGATAAACTGTGTACATACATGACTGCTACTGGTGTGTTGGGATGAGTTGTGTACATACATGACTGCTACTGGTGTGTTGGGATGAACTGTGTACATACATGACTGCTACTGGTGTGTTGGGATAAACTGTGTACATACATGACTGCTACTGGTGTGTTGGGATGAGTTGTGTACATACATGACTGCTACTGGTGTGTTGGGATGAACTGTGTATAAACATGAGAGTTACTGGTGTGTTGGGGTAAGCTTTTTACATACATAAGTGTTACTGGTATTTTGGGAAGGAAATGTGTACCTACAAAAGGGTTACTGATGTGTTGGGAGTGAACTGTGTACATACATGAGAGTTACTGATGTGTTTTTGGAGTGAATTGTGTACATAAATGAGCGTTACTGGTGTGTTGGGATGAGCTGTGTACATACATGACTGCTACTGGTGTGTTGGGATAAACTGTGTACATACATGACTGCTACTGGTGTGTTGGGATGAGTTGTGTACATACATGACTGCTACTGGTGTGTTGGGATGAACTGTGTACATACATGACTGCTACTGGTGTGTTGGGATGAGTTGTGTACATACATGACTGCTACTGGTGTGTTGGGATGAACTGTGCACATACATGACTGCTACTGGTGTGTTGGGATGAACTGTGTACATAAATGACTGCTACTGGTGTGTTGGGATGAACTGTGTACATACATGACTGCTACTGGTGTGTTGGGATGAACTGTGTACATACATGACTGCTACTGGTGTGTTGGGATGAACTGTGTACATACATGAGAGTTACTGATGTGTTTTTGGAGTGAATTGTGTACATAAATGAGCGTTACTGGTGTGTTGGGATGAGCTGTGTACATACATGACTGCTACTGGTGTGTTGGGATGAGCTGTGTACATACATGACTGCTACTGGTGTGTTGGAATGAACTGTGTACATACATGACTGCTACTGGTGTGTTTGGATGAACTGTGTACATACATGACTGCTACTGGTGTGTTGGGATGAGTTGTGTACATACATGACTGCTACTGGTGTGTTGGGATGAACTGTGCACATACATGACTGCTACTGGTGTGTTGGGATGAACTGTGTACATAAATGACTGCTACTGGTGTGTTGGGATGAGCTGTGTACATACATGACTGCTACTGGTGTGTTGGGATGAGCTGTGTACATATATGAGAGTTACAGGTGTGTTGGGATGAGCTGTGTACATACATGACTGCTACTGGTGTGTTGGGATGAGTTGTGTACATACATGACTGCTACTGGTGTATTGGGATGAGCTGTGTACATATATGAGAGTTACAGGTGTGTTGGGATGAGCTGTGTACATACATGACTGCTACTGGTGTGTTGGGATGAGCTGTGTACATACATGAATGCTAATGGTGTGTTGGGATGAGTTGTGTACATAAATTACTGCTACTGGTGTTTTGGGATGAACTGTGTACATACATGATTGCTACTGGTGTGTTGGGATGAGCTGTGTACATACATGACTGCTACTGGTGTGGTGGGATGAGCTGTGTACATACATGACTGCTACTGGTGTGTTGGGATGAACTGTGTACATACATGACTGCTACTGGTGTGTTGGGATGAACTGTGTACATACATGACTGCTACTGGTGTGGTGGGATGAGCTGTGTACATACATGAGAGTTACTGGTGTGTTGGGATGAACTGTGTACATACATGACTGCTACTGGTGTGGTGGGATGAGCTGTGTACATACATGACTGCTACTGGTGTGTTGGGATGAGCTGTGTACATACATGACTGCTACTGGTGTGTTGGGATGAACTGTGTACATACATGAGAGTTACTGGTGTGTTGGGATGAACTGTGTACATTCATGACTGCTACTGATGTGTTTGGATGAGCTGTGTACATACATGACTGCTACTGGTGTGTTGGGATGAACTGTGTACATACATGACTGCTACTGGTGTGTTGGGATAAACTGTGTACATACATGACTGCTAATGGTGTGTTGGGATGAGTTGTGTACATACATGACTGCTACTGGTGTGTTGGGATGAACTGTGTTCATACATGACAGCTATTGGTGTGTTGGGATGAACTGTGTACATAAATGACTGCTACTGGTGTGTTGGGATGAACTGTGTACATACATGACTGCTACTGGTGTGTTGGGATGAACTGTGTACATACATGACTGCTACTGGTGTGTTGGGATAAACTGTGTACATACATGACTGCTACTGGTGTGTTGGGATGAGTTGTGTACATACATGACTGCTACTGGTGTGTTGGGATGAACTGTGTACATACATGACTGCTACTGGTGTGTTGGGATGAACTGTGTACATACATGACTGCTACTGGTGTGTTGGGATGAAATGTGTACATACATGAGAGTTACTGGTGTATTGGGATGAGCTGTGTACATAAATGAGAGTTACTGGTGTGTTGGGATGAGCTGTGTACATACATGACTGCTACTGGTGTGTTGGGATGAGCTGTGTACATACATGACTGCTACTGGTGTGTTGGGATTAGCTGTGTACATACATGACTGCTACTGGTGTGTTGGGATGAGCTGTGTACATAAATGACTGCTACTGGTGTGTTGGGATGAACTGTGTACATACATGACTGCTACTGGTGTGTTGGGATGAGCTGTGTACATACATGACTGCTACTGGTGTGTTGGGATGAGCTGTGTACATACATGACTGCTACTGGTGTGGTGGGATGAGCTGTGTACATACATGACTGCTACTGGTGTGTTGGGATGAACTGTGTACATACATGACTGCTACTGGTGTGGTGGAATGAGCTGTGTACATACATGAGAGTTACTGGTGTGTTGGGATGAACTGTGTACATACATGACTGCTACTGGTGTGGTGGGATGAACTGTGTACATACATGACTGCTACTGGTGTGTTGGGATGAGCTGTGTACATACATGACTGCTACTGGTGCGTTGGGATGAACTGTGTACATACATGAGAGTTACTGGTATGTTGGGATGAACTGTGTACATACATGACTGCTACTGGTGTGGTGGGATGAGCTGTGTACATACATGACTGCTACTGGTGTGTTGGGATGAACTGTGTACATACATGACTGCTACTGGTGTGTTGGGATAAACTGTGTACATACATGACTGCTAATGGTGTGTTGGGATGAGTTGTGTACATACATGACTGCTACTGGTGTGTTGGGATGAGACTGCTACTGGTGTGTTCACTGTGTACATACATGACTGCTACTGGTGTGTTGGGATGAGCTGTGTACATACATGACTGCTACTGGTGTGTTTGGATGAGCTGTGTACATACATGACTGCTACTGGTGTGTTGGTATGAGCTGTGTACATACATGACTGCTACTGGTGTGTTGGGATGAGCTGTGTACATACATGACTGCTACTTTTGTGTTGGGATGAACTGTGTACATACATGACTGTTACTGGTGTGTTGGGATGAGCTGTGTACATACATGACTGCTACTGGTGTGTTTGGGATACAAAACTGTGTACATACATGACTGCTACTGGTGTGTTGGGATGAACTGTGTACATACATGACTGTTACTGATGTGTTGGGATGAACTGTGTACATACATGACTGTTACTGGTGTGTTGGGATGAGCTGTGTACATACATGACTGTTACTGGTGTGTTGGGATGAGCTGTGTACATACATGACTGCTACTGGTGTGTTGGGATGAACTGTGTACATACATGACTGTTACTGATGTGTTAGGATGAACTGTGTACATACATGACTGTTACTGATGTGTTGGGATGAACTGTGTACATACATGACTGTTACTGGTGTGTTGGGTTGAGCTGTGTACATACATGCCTGCTAATGGTGTTTTGGGATGAACTGTGTACATACATGAGAGTTACTGGTGTGGTCGGATGAGCTGTGTACATACATGACTGCTACTGGTGTATTGGGATGAACTGTGTACATACATGACTGCTACTGGTGTATTGGGATGAGCTGTGTACATACATGACTGCTACTGGTGTGTTGGGATGAACTGTGTACATACATGAGAGCTACTGGTGTGTTGGGATGAACTGTGTACATACATGACTGCTACTGGTGTGTTGGGATGAGCTGTGTACATCAATGTCTATAAAAAATGCTTCTGCTTAGATGAGTGCTAGAACTGTGTAAAACATATTTTGTCTCTGTGTTTTTTTAAAAATCTCTCTCTCTTTCTGTGCCTCTCTCACTCGATACAGGTGTGGTTAACCTGATAGTCTGGGGAAACATTACTGGAAAGTACTTCTTGGATTTAAACCATTGTCGCATCCATGGCTACAGAGGAGCAGTAAAAGGCCCTGAGTGGTGAGTACAAATAACAAGTAGAGTACCCTTTTCCATGCCTTTAGGCATATAGGGTTAGACCGACATTTTATAGACCGATCGGCACAAAATGGGAAATCTGGTCAGGATCACGCTGGCCACCTTTACTTCCTGGGACTGTACCTGGTACCCACTCAAGGCTGGGTTGACCTGTAAGCCAAGGTCATTTTTGAAAATTAGAGTGAATCCACGACCTTCTAATCCGCAGGCGAGTGTCTAGATGCTCGGCCACAGCGACTCCCGAGTGGTGAGTATTATTATTATTTGGGTAAGTGGGTTGGGGGGGGGGGCCACGCTGTATTCTAGCATATCAATGTGAGTGAAATAAAATGGTGTGACAGAGATGACTGTGCACAATTGTGTGTGTAATAAGAAATAATTGTACACAAATGTGTGTGTGTGATTATAAATAATTGTACACTTGTGTGACAGAGATGACTGTACACAAGTGTGTATGTAATTTGAAATGATTGTACCAAATGTGTGTGTGATTTGAAATGATTGTACACTTGTGTGATAGAGATGACTGTACACAAGTGTGTGTGTGATTAGAAATGGATGTACACAAGTGTGTGTGATTAGAAATTGATGTACACTTGTGTGACTGAGATGACTGTACACAAATGTGTGTGTGATTAGAAATAATTGTACACAAATGTGTGTGTGACAGAGATGATTGTACAATTGTCTGACAGAGATAACTGTATGCTTGCATGACAAAGATGACAGTATATTTGTGTGACAGATGATTGTACACCTGTGTGACAGAGATGACTGTAAATTTGTGAGACAGAGATGATTGTACACTTGTGAAACAGAGATGGTTGTACACTTGTGAGACAGAGATGATTGTACACCTGTGAGACAGAGATGATTGTAAACTTGTGAAGCAGAGATGATTGTACACTTGTGAGACAGATGATTGTACACTTGTGAGACAGAGATGACTGTACACTCATGGGGCAGAGATGGTTGTACACTTGTGAGACAGAGATGGTTGTACACTTGTGAGACAGAGATGACTGTAGACTTGTGTGACAGAGATGACTGTACACTTGTGAGACAGAGATGATTGTACACTTGTGGGGCAGAGATGACTGTACACTTGTGTGACAGAGATGACTGTACACGTATGAGACAGAGATGACTGTACACTTGTGTGACAGAGATGATTGTACACTGGTGTGACAGAAATGACTATACACTTGTGTGACAGAGATGACTGTACACTTGTGAGACAGAGATGACCGTATACTAGTGTGACAGAGATGATTGTACACTGGTGAGGCTGAGATTACTGTACACTTGTGAGACAGAGATGATTGTACACTTGTGAGGCAGAGATGACTGTACACTTGTGGGGCAGAGATGATTGTACACTTGTGAGGCAGAGATGACTGTACACTTGTGGGGCAGAGATGATTGTACACTTGTGACAGTACTGATTACAGTCACGTTTATTACAAGAAGGAAATAGAAGGAAAGAAACACACAGAGGAATAATGAGGTATAGAGTCGCTTGAGAATAAGAAGGTCGCTGCGTAGTATAAAATATAGCAACCTTGAGGGCATGGACTTTAGGCGTAGGTGCGGGGCCAAGCCAGGACATGAACTGTTGTAGGACATTATACCCATTAATCGCAGAAGGAAGAAACTGGGGTTAAAAGTACACCCAGCATTGGACTAGAAAGACAGACAAAGATGCTGGTAGGATGACCTTTAAGGGACAGTTGAACTAAGAACGATAGTTGAGAATTTGCATAAACTAATCAGGCTATGGAAAATTCCCAGAAAGTAAAACTTGCTAGAGCAGCGTACACCTACTGCAACACAAAGAGAAGATGGCCCAGCTTAGAGAAGTCACGAGGGTATTGACCCAAAAGGAACAATGGAGGTCTGGAGATTTGGGAGCGGGAATCAGGAAACCAACAGTTTATCTAAGGACGGTGACCGGGGTGAGACAGTGGCCTAATTTGCATATATTAAAGAGATGTTGAACTCTGAGTCAGCATGAAGATGTAGGACAAACGGCCAAGGTGAGCGTTACTTAGGGAAAGTATATATGCTAACGCAAGGACTGAGAGAAGCAGATTGTGCTTAGAGGGCCGAAGGGTGTCCAAACCGTAAGGTCGACTAGAAGAGTGAAAACGAAGAGACTGATCTGGAAAGTTACAGGCGCCCATGCCATAGAATAACTTTTAGACGAGAGAATAGCGTCCAAGATCGTGAAACGACAGAATCGGTTGAGCACATGAGAAGTCAAACAACTAAGTGTTTGTTATTTAAGACTAACCTGGGCTAATAAGACCGGCTTGTTAACTTCTTGTTACTAATATATGACTATTTGTTTGCTTTGCGAATTCAGCTTATTTTTAGTGTTTTATGGTGATCATATCGTTTGGAGAGATATTGTTGACTTTAATAAACTTCTTATTGTGGTGTAATCTGGAATCTAGTTGGTTTAGTTCTATTGATTACTTAAAATCAGGTTTGGTAACTCGTTTTAGTCATCGTATAGAATTAGAGTCAGAGCTGCACTGGTGCAACAGTACTTCAAGGGTCGCAGACATTCCTGCGGCCTCTGTTCAAAGAACCTATCTTCTTCTCTTATCTATCTCTTTTGAGTTGACCCAAGGGTGAGAGTACTTAATTGCTCCGCGTGACGACATACCTACTCAGTCTATATTGTCTTCTCGTTATTATCTTTTATGATCTTTAACGGTTCCTCATTTTCTCTTATATTCCCCTAAACTACTCTTTCATACTTTAAGCCTTACACAATCGGGAAATCACCCTGGGACACACTTGTGAGACAGAGATGACTGTACACTTGTGTGACAGAGATGACTGTACAGTTGTGGGACAGAGATGATTGTACATTTGTGAGACAGAGATGACTGTACACTTGTGGGACAGAGATGACTGTACACTTGTGGGACAGAGATGACTGTACACTTGTGGGACAGAGATGACTGTACACTTGTGGGACAGAGGTGATTGTACACTTGTGGGACAGAGATGATTGTACACTTGTGGGACAGAGATGATTGTACACTTGTGGGACAGAGATGACTCTACACTTGTGGGACAGAGGTGATTGTACACTTGTGGGACAGTGATGATTGTACACTTGTGGGACAGAGATGATTGTAGACTTGTGAGACAGAGATGATGGTACACTTGTGAGACAGAGGTGATTGTACACTTGTGAGACAGAGATGATTGTACACTTGTGAGACAGAGATGACTGTACACTTGTGAGACAGAGATGATTGTACACTTGTGAGACAGAGATGATTGTACACTTGTGAGACAGAGATGACTGTACACTTGTGAGACAGAGGTGATTGTACACTTTTAAGACAGAGATGACTGTACACTTGTGGGACAGAGATGACTGTACACTTGTGGGACAGAGATGATTGTAGAATTGTTAGACAGAGATGATTGTACACTCATATGACAGAGATGATTGTATACTCATATGACAGAGATGATTGTATACTCATATCACAGAGATGATTGTACACTCATATGACAGAGATGATTGTACACTTTTATGACAGAGATGATTGTACACTCTTATGACAGAGATGATTGTAAAGTTGTGTACAGAGATAACAGTAAACTTGTGTACATAGATGACTTTGAAGTTGTGCACAGAGATGACTGTAAAGGTGTGTACATAGATGACTGTAAAGTTGTGTACAGAGATGACTGTAAAGGTGTGTACATAGATGACTGTAAAGGTGTGTACAGAGATGAATGTAAAGTTGTGTACAGAGATGACTGTAAAGTTGTGTACAGAGATGACTGTAAAGTTGTGTACATAGATGACTGTAAAGTTGTGTACATAGTTGACTGTAAAGTTGTGTATATAGATGACTGTAGTTTATGTAAAGAGATGACTGTAAAGGTGTGTACAGAGATGACTGTACAGTTGTGTACATAGATGACTGTAGTTGATGTAAAGATACTGCTATATTTATCCTGGCAGGTATTCTGTGCAGGCAGTGGAGATGATCCATGACAAGAAGTGGATTCAGAAAGATCTGCCAAGACTTGTTGCCACCAGACACCTGAAGGTGATCAGTTGTTGTTGTTGTTGCCACCAGACACCTGAAGGTGATCAGTTGTTGTTGTTGTTGTTGCCACCAGACACCTGAAGGTGATCAGTTGTTGTTGTTGTTGCCACCAGACACCTGAAGGTGATCAGTTGTTGTTGTTGTTGCCACCAGACACCTGAAGGTGATCAGTTGTTGTTGTTGCCACCAGACACCTGAAGGTGATTAGTTGTTGTTGTTGTAGCCACCAGACACCTGAAGGTGATCAGTTGTTGTTGTTGTTGCCACCAGACACCTGAAGGTGATCAGTTGTTGTTGTTGCCACCAGACACCCGAAGGTGATCAGTTGTTGTTGTTGTTGCCACCAGACACCTGAAGGTGATCAGTTGTTGTTGTTGTTGCCACCAGACACCTGAAGGTGATCAGTTGTTGTTGTTGTTGCCACCAGACACCTGAAGGTGATCAGTTGTTATTGTTGTTGTTGGCACCAGACACCTGAAGGTGATCAGTTGTTGTTGTTGCCACCAGACACATGAAGGTGATCAGTTGTTGTTGTTGCCACCAGACACCTGAAGGTGTTCAGTTGTTGTTGTTGTTGTTGGCACCAGACACCTGAAGGTGATCAGTTGTTGTTGTTGTTGCCACCAGACACCTGAAGGTGATCAGTTGTTGTTGTTGTTGCCACCAGACACCTGAAGGTGATTAGTTGTTGTTGCCACCAGACACCTGAAGGTGATCAGTTGTTGTTGTTGTTGCCACCAGACACCTGAAGGTGATCAGTTGTTGTTGTTGCCACCAGACACCTGAAGGTGATTGGTTGTTGTTGTTGTTGTTGTTGCCACCATACACCTGAAGGTGATCAGTTGTTGTTGTTGCCACCAGACACCCGAAGGTGATAAGTTGTTGTTGTTGTTGCCACCAGACACCTGAAGGTGATCAGTTGTTGTTGTTGTTGCCAGCAGACACCTGAAGGTGATCAGTTGTTGTTGTTGTTGCCACCAGACACCTGAAGGTGATCAGTTGTTGTTGCCACCAGACACCTGAAGGTGATCAGTTGTTGTTGTTGTTGCCACCAGACACATGAAGGTGATCAGTTGTTGTTGTTGCCACCAGACACCTGAAGGTGTTCAGTTGTTGTTGTTGTTGGCACCAGACACCTGAAGGTGATCAGTTGTTGTTGTTGTTGCCACCAGACACCTGAAGGTGATCAGTTGTTGTTGTTGTTGGCACCAGACACCTGAAGGTGATCAGTTGTTGTTGTTGTTGTTGGCACCAGACACCTGAAGGTGATCAGTTGTTGTTGTTGTTGGCACCAGACACCTGAAGGTGATCAGTTGTTGTTGTTGCCACCAGACACCTGAAGGTGATCAGTTGTTGTTGTCTGTGTTACACTCAGCACTGATGTGGAGGACTGACTGGGTTACACTCAGCACTGATGTGAGGACTGACTGGGGTACACTCAGCACTGATGTGAGGACTGATTGGGATACACTCAGCACTGATGTGGGGACTGACTGAGGTACACTCAGCACTGATGTGGGGACTGACTTGGGTACACTCAGCACTGATGTGGGGACTGACTGGGTACACTCAGCACTGATGTGAGGACTGATTGGGATACACTCAGCACTGATGTGGGGACTGACTGAGGTACACTCAGCACTGATGTGGGGACTGACTTGGGTACACTCAGCACTGATGTGGGGACTGACTGGGTACACTCAGCACTGATGTGGGGACTGACTTGGGTACACTCAGCACTGATGTGGGGACTGACTGGGTACACTCAGCACTGATGTGAGGACTGACTGGGGTACACTCAGCACTGATGTGGGGACTGACTGGGTTACACTCAGCACTGATTTGGGGACTGACTTGGGTACACTCAGCACTGATGTGAGGATTGACTGGGTTACACTCAGCACTGATGTGAGGACTGACTGGGGTACACTCAGCACTGATGTGGGGACTGACTGGGTTACACTCAGCACTGATTTGGGGACTGACTGAGGTTCACTCAGCACTGATGTGAGGACTGACTGGGGTACACTCAGCACTGATGTGGGGACTGACTGGGGTACACTCAGCACTGATGTGGGGACTGACTGGGGTACACTCAGCACTGATGTGAGGACTGACTGGGGTACACTCAGCACTGATGTGAGGATTGACTGGGTTACACTCAGCACTGATGTGAGGATTGACTGGGGTACACTCAGCACTGATGTGAGGACTGACTGGGGTACACTCAGCACTGATGTGAGGACTGACTGGGGTACACTCAGCACTGATGTGGGGACTGACTGAGGTTCACTCAGCACTGATGTGGGGACTGACTGAGGTTCACTCAGCATTGATGTGGGGACTGATTGGGGTACACTCAGCACTGATGTGAGGACTGATTGGGGTTCACTCAGCACTGATGTGGGGACTGACTTGGGTACACTCAGCATTGATGTGGGGACTGACTGGGTTACACTCAGCACTGATGTGAGGACTGATTGGGGTACACTCAGCACTGATGTGGGGACTGACTGGGGTACACTCAGCACTGATGTGAGGACTGACTGAGGTTCACTCAGCACTGATGTGAGGATTGACTGGGTTACACTCAACACTGATGTGAGGATTGACTGGGGTACACTCAGCATTGATGTGGGGACTGACTGGGGTACACTCAGCATTGATGTGGGGACTGCACTCAGCATTGATGTGGGGACTGACTGGGGTACACTCAGCATTGATGTGGGGACTGACTGAGGTACACTCAGCACTTATTTGTGGAGTCTGTCATGCAGTCAACCATTGCCATTGGAAACATCTAGTTTTTGACATTGTTGTTCACACTATTTAAACAATTTGTATTATGAGAAGTTGATCAGAGATTGCAGAACTGTTGTGAAGTTACAAAGAAATCCAGTGTCTTCTTGTTTGCCAACAGACAGTGGAGGTTGAGGACAACTCCCACAGCGGTCTGTGCTCTGCCAATGCTATAGCCAGCATGTTACAGCACTGGTGCCGAGGATCCCCTCGGAGTGAAATCTTTTCTTTAGGTGTCTCCTCAGAAGGTTGGTCATATTTGCTGCTTTCTTTCTGTGTAATTCAGGAAAAAAATGACACGGTGAGTTTAGACATATGGAGGATTGGGATCCAGGATAGTTGGACAGTTACTAACTAGAGGATTGTGATCCTACTGTAGCCAGGACCATTGAATAGTTATTAATTAAATTATGATCCTACAGTAATCAGGATAGTAAGGCAGTTACTAACTAGAGGATTGTGATCCTGCAGTAGCCAGGATGTTCTTTGTACCTATTAACTGTCATGGATTGATGTTGCTTGTATCTGTCAACTTTTATTGATTGATATTGCTTGTACCTGTCAGTTTTTATTGACTGATGTTGCTTTTATTTGTTAACCTTCATTGACTGATTTTGCTTGATTCCTGTTAACTTTTACTGATTGATGTTTCTTATATCTGTTAACCTTCATTGACTGATGTTGCTTGTATCTGTTAACTTTCATTGATTGATGTTGCTTATATCTGTTAACTTTCATAGATCGATGTTGGTTGTATCTGTTGCCTTTCATAGATTGATATTGCTTGTACCTGTCAGTTTTTATTGACTGATGTTGCTTTTATTTGTTAACCTTCATTGACTGATTTTGCTTGATTCCTGTTAACTTTTACTGATTGATGTTTCTTATATCTGTTAACTTTCATAGATTGATGTTGCTTATATCTGTTAACTTTCATTGTTTGATGTTGCTTATACCTGTTAACTTTTATTGATTGACGTTGCTTGTATCTGTTAACTTTTATTGTTTGATGTTGCTTGTGTCTGTTAACTTTCATTGACTGATGTTGCTTGTATCTGTTAACTTTCATTGATTGATGTTGCTTGTGTCTGTTAACTTTCATTGATTCATGTTGCTTGTATCTGTTAACTTTCATTGATTGACGTTGCTTGTATCTGTTAACTTTCATTGATTGATGTTGCTTATATCTGTTAACTTTTATTGATTGACGTTGCTTGTGTCTGTTAACTTTTATTGATTGACGTTGCTTATATCTGTTAACTTTCATTGTTTGATGTTGCTTGTATCTGTTAACTTTAATTGATTCATGTTGCTTGTATCTGTTAACTTTCATTGATTGATGTTGCTTGTATCTGTTAACTTTCATTGTTTGATGTTGCTTGTATCTGTTAACTTTAATTGATTCATGTTGCTTGTATCTGTTAACTTTCATTGATTCATGTTGCTTATATCTGTTAACTTTCATTGATTGACGTTGCTTGTATCTGTTAACTTTCATTGTTTGATGTTGCTTGTATCTGTTAACTTTCATTGATTGATGTTGCTTATATCTGTTAACTTTCATTGATTGATGTTGCTTGTATCTGTTAACTTTCATTGATTGACGTTGCTTGTATCTGTTGACTTTCATTGTTTGATGTTGCTTATATCTGTTAACTTTCATTGATTGACGTTGCTTGTATCTGTTAACTTTCATTGATTGATGTTGCTTATATCTGTTAACTTTCATTGATTGACGTTGCTTGTGTCTGTTAACTTTCATTGATTCATGTTGCTTGTGTCTGTTAACTTTCATTGATTGATGTTGCTTGTATCTGTTAACTTTCATTGATTGATGTTGCTTGTATCTGTTAACTTTCATTGTTTGATGTTGCTTGTATCTGTTAACTTTCATTGATTGATACTGCTTGTATCTGTTAACTTTCATTGTTTGATGTTGCTTGTATCTGTTAACTTTCATTGTTTGATGTTGCTTGTATCTGTTAACTTTCATTGTTTGATGTTGCTTGTATCTGTTAACTTTCATTGATTGATGTTGCTTATATCTGTTAACTTTCATTGATTGATGTTGCTTGTATCTGTTAACTTTCATTGATTGATACTGCTTGTATCTGTTAACTTTCATTGATTCATGTTGCTTGTGTCTGTTAACTTTCATTGATTGACGTTGCTTGTATCTGTTAACTTTCATTGATTGACGTTGCTTGTATCTGTTAACTTTCATTGATTGACGTTGCTTGTATCTGTTAACTTTCATTGATTGATGTTGCTTGTATCTGTTAACTTTCATTGTTTGATGTTGCTTATATCTGTTAACTTTCATTGTTTGATGTTGCTTATATCTGTTAACTTTCATTGTTTGATGTTGCTTGTATCTGTTAACTTTCATTGATTGATGTTGCTTATATCTGTTAACTTTCATTGTTTGATGTTGCTTGTATCTGTTGACTTTCATTGATTGATGTTGCTTGTGTCTGTTAACTTTCATTGATTGATACTGCTTGTGTCTGTTAACTTTCATAGATTGGCGTTGCTTGTGTATGTTGACTTTCATTGATTGATACTGCTTGTATCTGTTAACTTTCATAGATTTTTGTTGCTTGTATGAATAGTAGAATTTAATTAATAGAACATTGGTGCTTGTATAAATAGTTGACATTGTTTTAATATAAATATATTGCTTGTATGAATAAGTTAATATTCATTTAACATAATTATATTTCTTGTATTAATAGTTAGGATTCATGTAATATTATTATGGTATCTCTTTAAATAGTTAATTTTAACTTTCATTGAATAGAATTAAAGTGCTTGTATAAAGTGTTCTTTTTGTCTATTCTGATCACTGTGATTCTTCATAGGTTGGTATGGCGCACCAGTTGGGATGTTCTTCTCATTTCCGGTGACCATGACACTAAGTGGGTCTTGGCAAGTGGTCCAAGATATTGAGGTCACCAAAGAGACTGTAGAAGTCATTGAAGCTTGTATCATGGTAATCCTCAGACATGATATTCTCTACTGTTGCTGGGCAAATGGGAGAAATTATTCTGATGTTTGTCTCTGTGAATGTTTTAGCTAACTGGTGACAAGTGGCCTAAGGTCATGGGTCAGAGACTCTTTTTCACAACTGGTGGTAAAAATGAGTTTAATCCTTAGCCAAACTTTTGGGTTGCTGAGTGAATTACAGCAGTCAGTGAAGTTCTACTAGAGATTTAGCCAAACTTTACCGGTCGCTGAGTGAATTACAACAGACAGTGAAGTTCTACTAGAGATTTAGCCAAACTTTACCGGTCGCTGAGTGAATTACAACAGACAGTGAAGTTCTACTAGAGATTTAGCCAAACTTTACCGGTCACTGAGTGAATTACAACAGATAGTGAAGTTCTACTAGAGACAGAATTGCAGATATAAATAATATATTTCAAGCGAATGAAAAAAGAAGAAAAAGAAGAAAAATTCTAGTCACATGTTGTTTAAGCCTTGAGGACAGGCAAGTAGGACATAGATGAGGCTGGTCCTGTGTTGAAGCCTTGAGGACAGGCAAGCAGGACATAGATGAGGCTGGTCCGATGTTGAAGCCTTGAGGACAGGCAAGTAGGGTGTAGATGAGGGCACGTTCATCAGTAAATGAAGTGAGTGAATACTATTGCATGCGTGACAGTCCAGCAAGTGTATGAGTAGAGTGGCAGGTTTCAGAAGAGCCTGACTTTTGAGACAGATTGTTTACAAGTGGGTCAGACACCCAGTAGTAATCCCAGAGTCTCTTGCAGCCATTGAAGGCCTTGTACAATATAAGCGCCCATTGACTGTGAGGTGCTGCACATCTTGACATCAGTCAAGGTTCAGCCCAGCACAACTTTCGTGATGTGCTACACCACATCATCCGTGATGTGCTACACCACATCATCCGTGATGCAGCACACCACATCATCCGTGATGCAGCACACCACATCATCCGTGATGCAGCACACCACATCATCCGTGATGTGCTACACTACCTAAAGTGTCTGTAAGGTGGGTGTTATAGCAGCACTCCAAAATTGAAACAACCATGAATTGTTGCTTATCAAGAACTTTTGCATTGTTTTAAAGCATAAAATAATGTTTCCTATCTATACTGGACATTTGTTCATGATGAATCCTTACAGGTTTCACCCCCTCCCCCCTACCTCCCCCACACTTTTCACTAATCAGAACTAGAGCTGTACCTAATAGGTAATTATCGCTATTTGGCCAAACACAAAAATGGGACCAACTGTTCGACTGAATACCAGTACGAATACAGTGTATAAAATAAATCTTAAAAAAATTGTTACTGTCAAATGTACGCTGAACTTTTACTACATAAAATGTAGTACAGAGTAGTAAATATTTAAAAACATTTTATGTTTTGCATCCTTCAGTCAGTCAGTGATAACTAATAACTAGGAATGAAAGTATTCTAAGCATTATAACAAGTAACTAAACATGTAAATTGTCACATTAGCTTTCAATAAAACCAATCGTTCCATGTCGTCAGCATTAAGGCTGTGTATGCAGAAGTGGGTGCAAGGTAACCAATATTCGTATTCGGCCCAACCGCAAGTATTCGGCTGAATACTGAATAGTTATTAGGTCCACTATAAGGTCCCTAACGAATACGAAGCGAATGTTTTTTACAGCTCTAATCAAAACACAGATAGCACCATGATGTTATGTGCTTAACACCGTTGATATCCCTAACAACAATATTAACATGTTACAAGACTTGATTACTGTAATTTCTATCACAGTTTTAATGTTTCCCTTTGAAACCCCTCTTACTGCTACTGTTGCCATTCCATTGGAACTCTTCACTGGGTACTAAAGATGATGACTGAGTGCTTATGGGTGTGCCCCAAGTGCTTATGGGTGTGTCCCAAGTGTTTATGGGTGTGTCCCAAGTGCTTATGGGTGTGTCCCAAGTGTGTCCCAAGTGCTGTGTTGTCAGTTGTTAACTGATCTCACATTTAAACCCTTGACTCATTTACCACAGAGTTCCCTGTCACCCATTTATGCTGAGACAACCTGTGAACATAGATCAGTTATGGTTCCCTGTCACCCATTTATGCTGGGTCAACCTGTGAACATAGATCAATTATGGTTCCCTGTCACCCATTTATGCTAGGACAACCTGTGAATGTAGATCAGTTATGGTTCCCTGTCACCCACTTATGCTAGGACAACCTGCGAACGTAGATCAGTTATGGTTCCCTCGTCACCCATTTATGCTAGGACAACCTGTGAACATAGATCAGTTATGGTTCCCTTTCACCCATTTATGCTGGGTCAACCTGTGAACATAGATCAGTTATGGTTCTCTGTCACCCATTTATGCTATTACAACCTGTGAATGTAGATCAGTTATGGTTCCCTGTCACCCATTTATGCTGGGTCAACCTGTGAACATAGATCAGTTATGGTTCCCAGTCACCCATTTATGCTAGGACAATCTGTGAACATAGATCTGTTATGGTTCCCTGTCACCCATTTATGCTAGGACAACCTGTGAACGTGGATCAATTATGGTTCCTGTCACCCATTTATGCTAGGACAACCTGTGAACGTAGATCAGTTATGGTTTCCTATGGTTTTATGTTTCCTATCTCACTGGATGCATTGTTGAAGTTATATGAAGTGTCCTATCTCACTGTAACACATCTTTTTATTAATCTGATGTGTCCTTGTCTGTTTCAGGAGCAAGGCCAGCAGTTTTTGCTATGTATGGGTGACAGAAGAATGTCAGGTAAACACCCACTGTCTTTGTCTGTAATTAATTGTTTTGTCGACAGATTATCAGATTAGATTTGAAGTTATCTTTAGTTTATTGTTCTGTGAAAAAAAGGAAGAGATCAAATCTCTGGTCTTCAATATGTGCACATGATAATTTAAATAAAGACATTAACTAAACATCTCAGTTTAACTCATACTCTAGCTGCCATTGTCTGTTCAGTTGATGCTCTCAATATCTCTTTATTTGTTGCTTTCAATATCTCACAGTTGATGCTTTCAATATCTCACAGTTGATGCTCTCATTATCTCACAGTTGATGCTCTCATTATCTCACAGTTGATGCTCTCCATATCTCACAGTTAATGCTCTCCATATCTCACAGTTGATGCTCTCATTATCTCACAGTTGATGCTCTCAATATCTCTTCATTTGATGCTTTCAATATCTCACAGTTGATGCTCTCCATATCTCACAGTGAATGCTCTCATTATCTCACAGTTGATGCTCTCATTATCTCACAGTTGATGCTCTCCATATCTCACAGTTAATGCTCTCCATATCTCACAGTTGATGCTCTCATTATCTCACAGTTGATGCTCTCCATATCTCACAGTTGATGCTCTCATTATCTCACAGTTGATGCTCTCATTATCTCACAGTTGATGCTCTCAATATCTCACAGTTAATGCTCTCCATATCTCACAGTTGATGCTCTCATTATCTCACAGTTGATGCTCTCATTATCACACAGTTGATGCTCTCCATATACCACAGTTGAAGCTCTCCATATCTCACAGTGAATGCTCTCAATATCTCACAGTTGATGCTTTCAATATCTCACAGTTGATGCTCCCATTATCTCACAGTTGATGCTCTCATTATCTCACAGTTGATGCTCTCCATATCTCACAGTTAATGCTCTCCATATCTCACAGTTGATGCTCTCATTATCTCACAGTTGATGCTCTCCATATCTCACAGTTGATGCTCTCATTATCTCACAGTTGATGCTCTCATTATCTCACAGTTGATGCTCTCAATATCTCACATTAGATGCTCTCCATATCTCACAGTTGATGCTCTCATTATCTCACAGTTGATGCTCTCATTATCTCACAGTTGATGCTCTCCATATCCCACAGTTGAAGCTCTCCATATCTCACAGTGAATGCTCTCAATATCTCATAGTTAATGCTCTCAATATCTCACAGTTGATGCTCTCAATATCTCACAGTTGATGCTCTCCATATCTCATAGTTGTTGCTCTCATTATCTCACAGTTGATGCTCTCAATATCTCACAGTTGATGCTCTCCATATCTCATAGTTGATGCTCTCATTATCTCACAGTTGAAGCTCTCCATATCTCACAGTTGATGCTCTCATTATCTCACAGTTGATGCTCTCATTATCTCACAGTTGATGCTCTCTCACAGTTGAAGCTCTCCATATCTCACAGTTGATGCTCTCCATATCTCACAGTTGATGCTCTCCATATCTCACAGTTAATGCTCTCCATATCTCACAGTTAATGCTCTCCATATCTCACAGTTAATGCTCTCCATATCTCACAGTTAATGCTCTCCATATCTCACAGTTAATGCTCTCCATATCTCACAGTTAATGCTCTCCATATCTTATAATTAATGTTCTCCATATCTCACAGTTGATGCTCTCCATATCTCACAGTTGATGCTCTCCATATCTCACAGTTGATGCTCTCCATATCTCACATTAGATGCTCTCAATATCTCACAGTTGATGCTCTCCATATCTCACAGTTGATGCTCTCCATATCTCACAGTTGATGCTCTCCATATCTCACAGTTGATGCTCTCCATATCTCACAGTGAATGCTCTCCATATCTCACATTAGATGCTCTCAATATCTCACATTAGATGCTCTCCATATCTCACATTAGATGCTCTCCATATCTCACATTAGATGCTCTCCATATCTCACAGTTAATGCTCTCCATATCTCACATTAGATGCTCTCAATATCTCACAGTTGATGCTCTCCATATCTCACAGTTGATGCTCTCAATATCTCACATTAGATGCTCTCCATATCTCACAGTTGATGCTCTCCATATCTCACAGTGAATGCTCTCCATATCTCACATTAGATGCTCTCAATATCTCACATTAGATGCTCTCAATATCTCACATTAGATGCTCTCCATATCTCACATTAGATGCTCTCAATATCTCACATTAGATGCTCTTCATATCTCACATTAGATGCTCTCAATATCTCACAGTTGATGCTCTCCATATCTCACAGTTGATGCTCTCCATATCTCACATTAGATGCTCTCAATATCTCACATTAGATGCTCTCAATATCTCACATTAGATGCTCTCAATATCTCACAGTTGATGCTCTCAATATCTCACATTAGATGCTCTCAATATCTCACATTAGATGCTCTCCATATCTCACATTAGATGCTCTCCATATCTCACAGTTGATGCTCTCCATATCTCACAGTTGATGCTCTCAATATCTTACATTAGATGCTCTCAATATCTCACATTAGATGCTCTCAATATCTCACATTAGATGCTCTCCATATCTCACATTAGATGCTCTCAATATCTCACATTAGATGCTCTCAATATCTCACATTAGATGCTCTCCATATCTCACAGTTGATGCTCTCATTATCTCACAGTTGAAGCTCTCCATATTTCACAGATGATGCTCTCAGTATCTCTTCAGTTAAGAAAGATCTTACATTACTGTCAAATCAACTGTCAGCACAGTCTCTTGTGCTCTTGTTGTTGCCAGATCCGTTTCATGGCTGAATGTCTTTTCATGTTGGTCCTGTGTTGACAGAAAGATCCAGATAGTTCCTATTTCTTGGATCAGAATGATGTCATGTTGGTCTTTTATTGATAGAAAGCCCCAAAATCTTGGATCAGAATGATTTCATGTTGGTCTTTTATTGATAGAAAGCCCCAAAATGTTGGATCAGAATGATGACATGTTGGTCTTTTATTGATAGAAAGCCCCAAAATGTTGGATCAGAATGATGTCATGTTGGTCTTTTATTGATAGAAAGCCCCAAAATGTTGGATCAGAATGATTTCATGTTGGTCTTTTATTGATAGAAAGCCCCAAAATCTTGGATCTGAATGATTTCATGTTGGTCTTTTATTGACAGAAAGCCCCAAAATCTTGGATCAAGCCAGCCAGAGTAATGATACGATGAGCCTGTGGTCACAGCTAAGCCTTGGTAGAAGATCTACTGTTGGAGGCCATCTGTCAACAAGACCAGCTGCTGAGGTAGGAGCTAAGTTCCAGGATGACACGGAAGAAGGCAAGATCAGCCGGGATGTGCTGAAGGAAATACAATCATTGCTTGAAGAGAACACTTTAACACCAGCAGACGTGACCCTTGACCCAGAAGATACCATAGTGACTGATAACTTGTCCCAGTCAGATTCTCATCCTCCACCAACAGATGAGGACAACACCTCCCTGGAAGCAGTTACAATTGAGGAGGTTAGCACTGCACCCAAGGGCAGTTAGCTTGAGTGGTCAGTCTCTGATAAGGCTCTGGTTTCTGTTGGCTCTAGTGGTTTCCTTGACAACAACTAGCAGCACATTGGTCAGTGGCTGTAGAGACAAGTGACTGTGTGTGTGTGTCTGCAATCTTTGATTGTTCATTTATCTAGAAGATAGACATGGAGACATCAGTATAGACTCACACAAAGACAGTCATGTACACACTTGAAAATTTTTTTTTAAAATCATACCTGACTGAATAAATAAATTATGGAACCCTTTCTGATTAGTGATTTAAGAATCAACATCATAGCACACAGGGCATACCCACAGGTGCTCTATCTCCCACAGGAAATGTCTTAAGATGTAAATACTAACTGTTCCTGTAGCACACTGATGATATACATGTCATTCTTTTCCTCTCATACATTCGTATTTGCCTGTAGCACACTGATGATATACATGTCATTCTTGTCTTCTCATACATTCGTCCCTGCCTGTAGCACACTGATGATATACATGTCATTCTTGTCTTCTCATACATTTGCCCTTGCCTGATGCACACCTACACATTCTTACACATGTTTTTTCATCTAACCTCGAGTCTTCTATCAGCATTCATTCATAAATGGTCTTCAGAATGTCTCCATTCTCCAGTACAAGTGTTCATGTAGCTGTGGCTTTTGTCACAAAAAAATCAGCTCTTACATGCCCCTGTACTCCATGTGATTCCCTGCAATTTTGACGAACTGATGCTTGCTATCCACTTGTGCCACAACTTTCCATCCTGAACCTTCTGCAGTACCGTCTGAGAATCAGTCACTATAATTCAGCTGCCTACTCTGTTTTCTGCTATCCACTTGTGCCACAACTTTCCATCCTGAACCTTCTGCAGTACCGTCTGAGAATCAGTCACTATAATTCAGCTGCCTACTCTGTTTTCTGCTATCCACTTGTGCCACAACTTTCCATCCTGAACCTTCTGCAGTACGGTCTGAGAATCAGTCACTATAATTCAGCTGCCTACTCTGTTTTCTGCTATCTACTTGTGCCACAACTTTCCATCCTGAACCTTCTGCAGTACCGTCTGAGAATCAGTCACTATAATTCAGCTGCCTACTCTGTTTTCTGCTATCCACTTAAGAGCTGCAATAATTGTCCCTAACTCCTTCCTCATGCTTGAAGTTGAACACTTGCATGAATAAACCTTTGAATAAATGAATAATTCAATGAATGTAAAAAAAAAGTAAAAAAGTAAAGTAAAGGACCCTTTCCACGCCTTTAGGCGTATAGGGCATATAGGGCTAGACCTATATTTTTATAGACCAACGGCACAAGATGGGTGATGTGGTCAGCATCACGCCGGCCGCCTCTACTTCCCGGGATTGCACCCGGTACCCAATTCAATGAATGAGTAAATAAATAATTTACTGAACACTTTCATGAGTAAATCATTGAATAAACTCTTGAGTGAATGAGTGAACAATGAGAGTGATGATTGAGTGAAAGAAAACACAAACTAAATGAAAGTGATGATTGAGTGAAAGAAAACACAAACTAAATGAAAGTGATGATTGAGTGAAAGAAAACACAAACTAAATGAAAGTGATGATTGAGTGAAAGAAAACACAAACTAAATGAAAGTGATGATTGAGTGAAAGAAAACACAAACTAAATGAAAGTGATGATTGAGTGAAAGAAAACACAAACTAAATGAAAGTGATGATTGAGTGAAAGAAAACACAAACTAAATGAAAGTGATGATTGAGTGAAAGAAAACACAAACTAAATGAAAGTGATGATTGAGTGAAAGAAAACACAAACTAAATGAAAGTGATGATTGAGTGAAAGAAAACACAAACTAAATGAAAGTGATGATTGAGTGAAAGAAAACACAAACTAAATGAAAGTGATGATTGAGTGAAAGAAAACACAAACTAAATGAAAGTGATGATTGAGTGAAAGAAAACACAAACTAAATGAAAGTGATGATTGAGTGAAAGAAAACACAAACTAAATGAAAGTGATGATTGAGTGAAAGAAAACACAAACTAAATGAAAGTGATGATTGAGTGAAAGAAAACACAAACTAAATGAAAGTGATGATTGAGTGAAAGAAAACACAAACTAAATGAAAGTGATGATTGAGTGAAAGAAAACACAAACTAAATGAAAGTGATGATTGAGTGAAAGAAAACACAAACTAAATGAAAGTGATGATTGAGTGAAAGAAAACACAAACTAAATGAAAGTGATGATTGAGTGAAAGAAAACACAAACTAAATGAAAGTGATGATTGAGTGAAAGAAAACACAAACTAAATGAAAGTGATGATTGAGTGAAAGAAAACACAAACTAAATGAAAGTGATGATTGAGTGAAAGAAAACACAAACTAAATGAAAGTGACAATAGCGTGAAAGAAAATACAAACTAAATGAGAGTGACAATAATAGAGTGAAAGAAAACACAAACTAAATGAGGATGACAATAGAGTGAAAGAAAACACAAACTAAATGAGAGTGACAATAATAGAGTGAAAGAAAACACAAACTAAATGAGGATGACAATAGAGTGAAAGAAAACACAAACTAACCAGCAGAGTTTAGAGGAAGGAGTAATTGATTGATATCATTTATTCACTAACATTACAGACAGTATTATTTCATATAGTCTCACATGATTTACTTCGTCCTTCAGATCTGATTTGTGTTTGTTCATCTACCTGTAGGTTGCTTTGTTGTGATCTCAATTTGTTATAGATTTTCTTGATTTATATTGTTTGTACATTTTAATTTACATGTTTATCCTATAATTAGTGAAAGAGTTTTTTATTTTAGTTGTTTGTCTCATTCTCTGGTCCTCCCCAGTAACCATCACAGACTTTATGCCTTCGCCTTAATCAGAGTAGTTTAAACTTTCTTCCCTGCAGGCTAATCTTGAAAAGATGATTTAAAGTTTAGAGGATGTAATTCTTTGCACTAGATGTTATCTTACAAGGCTCAGTCTCTGACAGTCATGTAGCTGACTCACTGATGGACACATGTGAAACCCCTTGGGGATGTCTCTCAAGTTGAGACTAGGGAATAACCAACTCTGTAGCTGACTAACTGATGGACACATGTGAAACCCCTTGGGGATGTCTCTCAAGTTGAGACTAGGGAATAACCAACTCTGTAGCTGACTAACTGATGGACACATGTGAAACCCCTTGGGAATGTCTCTCAAGTTGAGACTAGGGAATAACCAACTCTGTAGCTGACTAACTGATGGACACATGTGAAACCCCTTGGGGATGTCTCTCAAGTTGAGACTAGGGAATAACCAACTCTGTAGCTGACTAACTGATGGACACATGTGAAACCCCTTGGGGATGTCTCTCAAGTTGAGACTAGGGAATAACCAACTCTGTAGCTGACTAACTGATGGACACATGTTAAACCCCTTGGGGATGTCTCTCAAGTTGAGACTAGGGAATAACCAACTCTGTAGCTGACTAACTGATGGACACATGTGAAACCCCTTGGGGATGTCTCTCAAGTTGAGACTAGGGAATAACCAACTCTGTAGCTGACTAACTGATGGACACATGTGAAACCCCTTGGGGATGTCTCTCAAGTTGAGACTAGGGAATAACCAACTCTGTAGCTGACCAACTGATGGACACATGTGAAACCCCTTGTGGATGTCTCTCAAGTTGAGACTAGGGAATAACCAACTCAGTAGCTGACTAACTGATGGACACATGTGAAACCCCTTGGGGATGTCTCTCCAGTTGAGACTAGGGAATAACCAACTCTGTAGCTGACTAACTGATGGACACATGTGAAACCCCTTGGGGATGTCTCTCAAGTTGAGACTAGGGAATAACCAACTCAGTAGCTGACTGACTGATGGACACATGTGAAACCCCTTGGGGATGTCTCTCAAGTTGAGACTAGGGAATAACCAACTCATTCTGACAGGAACAGGTAACTTTCAGGGAACAGAGCGAATGGCTTGATGACTGAACAGTGAAGACCATTAAACAGAGATCTCCTTCAGTCTGCAAATAGTCACTTCTAGTCTAGTAAAAAGTAAGTCAAGGACCCTTTTCCACGCCTCAAGGCGTATAGGGCATAAAGGGCTGGACCTATATTTTATAGACCAATCGGCACAAGATGGATGATGTGGTCAGCATCACACCAGCCGCCTTTACTTCCCGGCACTGCATCCGGTACCCACTCAAAGCTGGGTCAACCTGGGAGCCAAGGTCATTTTTAAAAAAAGTCCGGCTCCTCCATGGCTGGAACCCACGACCTTCCGATCCATGGCGAGCGTCTAGGCGCTTGGCCCCTTCTAGTCTAAATATGATGTTAATTATTGACACCAGCTCAGTTGAGGCCATATACCCATCTCCGATCCACACTCTTACATCACTAATGGACATCTGTTATTTCTGATCCACACTCCTACATCAGTAATTCACACCTGTTATTTCTGATCCACACTCTTACATCAGTAAATCACATCTGTTATTTCTGATCCACACTCCTACAACAGCAAGTCACATCTGTTATTTCTGATCCACACTCTTACATCAGTAAATCACATCTGTTAATTCTGATCCACACTCTTACATCTGTAAATCACATCTGTTATTTCTGATCCACACTCTTACATCAGTAATTCACATCTGTTATTTCTGATCCACACTCTTACATCAGTAATTCACACCTGTTTTTTCTGATCCACACTCCTACAACAGTAAGTCACATCTTTTATTTCTGATCCACACTCTTAATCAGTAATTGACATCTGTTTTTTCTGATCCACACTCTTACATCAGTAATTCACACCTGTTATTTCTGATCCACACTCCTACAACAGTAAGTCACATCTGTTATTTCTGATCCACACTCTTACATCAGTAAATCACATCTGTTATTTCTGATCCACACTCTTACATCAGTAAATCACATCTGTTATTTCTGATCTTACATCAGTAAATTACATCTGTTATTTCTGATCCACACTCTTACATCAG